TTATAGTGTAGCTGTAGCTGTACTGTACTGCAGTGTGTTATTGTTGCTGCGCTGTGCTGCAGTGTGTTATAGTGTAGCTGTACTGTACTGTACTGCAGGGTGTTATTGTTGCTGTGTTGTACTGGACTGTAATTATCTTGGTGTTGCTGTGCTGTGTTGCAGTTACTCTTCGTGCTGATAGATGGAGCTGTCAGTTCCAACAGGCGCTCACTGGAGTACTTTGGGCTGAAGTCACATGACCTCCCTGCAGTGGGCCTGTATGACACCCAGACAGACAGGAAGTGGCTCATGCAGGCACAGGAAGTCACCACTGAGCACGTGCAGGAGTTCTGTTACTCGTACCTGAGAGGGGATCTGCAGGTCAGCCACCTGTCAGCACGTCACATGATCTCAATTAGGATGACACCAATTAAACTTCTTTTCATTCTTGTTAGAGACACTGAATGTAATTAACTCTCCTGCTGTCTGAATTCTTCAAGTCCTTTCTCCCTCTCCTGCTCTCAGTCTCTTCTCCTCTCTCTGTCTCTTCTCCTCTCTCTGTACTCCTCAGACAGCTCAGTGTTGCTCAGTAATGATCCTCTCTCCCTCTGTTTGCCTGCTACACTCCCTGACCTCTCTCTGTCTCTCCTCCTTCCTCTAACAGCTGGTCTGTTAGACCTCTTCTCCCCCTCCGGTCACTGTCGGTCCCACATCAGTCACCCACACCTGGCTCTCAATCTCTCATGCTCATGTCAAGTGTCCTTTGATGCTTCTGATTTCCAATTTTGTGAAACCTTGAGAGCTAATTAATATTCATTTGACCTCTTTATCTCTGTGCATGTTTTTATCTTTACAATAATCTGTATGATTTTTCTACAGGAGCAGAATGATCCTCCAACATCCGCGGCAACCCACAGCAAATCTGAGCTGTAGTTTTGTAAAGGGGACAGAGAGCATATTCTGATCCGTTATCTATAGTCTGGGCTGTGAACTATATTCTGAGCTGTTATCTGTAATCTGAGCTGTACATTGTAGTCTGGACTGTAAACTGTAATCTGATCTGTAAACTGTTGTTTGGGCTGTAATCTGTAATCTGTAGTCTAAACTGTACACCATAGTCTGAGCTGTAACCTGCAGTCTAAACTCTACACTTTGGTCTGGGCTGTAATCTGTAGTCTGTGTGTTCAAGGTTGTAGCCTGTAGACTGAGATGTAGTCCATGCTGTGATCTGGAATCCGAGATGTAGCCTACAGGCTATTGACCGCACAACGCAGAATGGACTTCTGCCCCATTGAGAAGGTCTGATATGACAACATGAGGTAATAAATCTCACACCTGGTGAAGATGGAAAAGCTGTAAATTAATTTCGGTGAAGAGCAACTGTCTGTGTGTGGAGTGGTGACAGGCAGAGTGCAGTGTGTGAGCAGTATGCGTGTACAGTGTGTGTGTATGCAGTGTGTGTATGCAGTGTGTGTGTGCAGTGTGTGTGTATGCAGTGTGTGTGTATGCAGTGTGTGTGTGCAGTGTGTGCGTGTACAGTGTGTGTATGCAGTGTGTATGCAGTGTGTATGCAGTGTGTGTGCAGTGTGTGTGCAGTGTGTGTGCAGTGTGTGTGCAGTGTGTGCGTGTACAGTGTGTGTATGCAGTGTGCGTGCAGTGTGTGCGTGTACAGTGTGCGTGTGTGCAGTGTGTGTGTGGGTGTGTGCGTCCAGTGTGTGTGTTGCAGATGTGCAGCATCTGTGCAGTTCTGCATGACGTGTGTGTGTAAGAGATGTGCAGTGTGTGTGGGTGTGTGCGTGCAGTCTGCGTGTGCGGTGTGTATGTATTCAATGAGTGTGTGTGTGCAGTGTGCGTGTGCAGTATGCGTGCGAAGTGTGTGTGCAGTATGCATGTGCAGTGTGTGTGTGCAGTATGTGTGTGCAGTAGGTGTGTGTGTTTGTTGCGGATATGCAGTGTGTACCGGGTGTGTGTGCAGTGTGTGCAGTACGTGTGTGTGTGCAGTGTGTGCAGTAGGTGTGTGTGTAAGAGATGTACAGTGTGTGTGTGTGTGTGAGACGCTCAGGCATGCCGGTGCTCCGTGCGGTTTGCTGTCTCAGCTGGGACAGTGTCCTCAAGGCAGTGGCTGGCGTGTCCTCGCGTGCCGCTGGCGCCCTGACAGCGAGCCGACGCAGCGCTGTGGTGATTACAGAGGGGAAACCACAGGGCCGGGAGAGGAGCAGACCAGGGAGCGCGAGTAAGAGTACAACAGGATCCCTCACACTGGGACACACAACACAACATGAACTGGAACACTAAACACACAACACACGCTAGCTGAATATTTGACCAAGATAAGAAACAGCAAAAAGAAACAGACTCTGACGAAGTACAGGCTCAGTGACCACAGCCTGGCCAAAGATACTGGACACAGGCAGACCTGGCTGTCCAGAGAGGACAGGCTCAGTGACCACAGCCTGGCCAAAGACACTGGACACAGGCAGACCTGGCTGTCCAGAGAGGACAGGCTCAGTGACCACAGCCTTGCCAGAGACACTGGACACAGGCAGACCTGGCTGTCCAGAGAGGACAGGCTCAGTGACCACAGCCTGGCCAAAGACACTGGACACAGGCAGACCTGGCTGTCCAGAGAGGACAGGCTCAGTGACCACAGCCTGGCCAAAGACACTGGACACAGGCAGACCTGGCTGTCCAGAGAGGACAGGCTCAGTGACCACAGCCTGGCCAAAGACACTGGACACAGGCAGACCTGGCTGTCCAGAGAGGACAGGCTCAGTGACCACAGCCTGGCCAAAGACACTGGACACAGGCAGACCTGTCTGCCCAGAGAGGACAGGCTGTGCTCCCACTGCCAGCGGGGAGAAATAGAGACAGAGGTGCACTTCCTACTGCACTGTGACAGATACTCTGGGATTAGAGAAACATTCTTCCCTAAATATACAAATCTAATCCCAGAATTCCCACAGTGCCAGCAGCCACGTCACCCTGCAACTCACCACTGGCAGCCCACTGGAGCTCAGCAGGTGTGAGCCTGGTCAGTACCTGGATGGGAGACTCCTGGGAAAAACTAAGGTTGCTGCTGGAAGAGGTGTGAGTGGGGCCAGCAGGGGGCGCTCACCCTGCGGTCCGTGTGGGTCCTAATGCCCCAGTATAGTGACGGGGACACTATACTGTAAAAACGAGCTCCGCCTTTCAGATGAGACGTAAAACCGAGGTCCTGACACTCTGTGGTCATTAAAAATGCCAGGGTGTTTCACCCCTCGAGTAGGGGTGTAATTTCCCATGCCTCCTAATAATCCCCCTCTATGAATTGGCTACATCACTTTGTTCTCCTCCCCCTCCGATGGCAGGCGGAGCGATGTGCCGGTTGGAGTATTTCTCGGTCCCATTTAACGGCAACGTCAGCTCAAAGATTTGGTTCAAACCACCAAATGGAGACTGGCGTGCCGACAAGCAGACCCTGCTGAAGCGGGATTAACGCTAGGATGAGAGAGAGAATCCCATAATTCCCACAACTGCCAGAATCAGAACAGCTCCCAGTCCTACTGGGAGAGGGAGGAGGGAGCTCAGTTGAATTGGCTGCCCAGTATGCGATCTCCTGTCCCAGCCTGAGGAACAGTGAGCCTGTCTCTTCTCCGGTCAGTGTGACTCTGCTGTGATCTCTCAGTGCTCTTTGCCTTTTCACAGCTGATGATTGTAACAAAAGTTATGAAAATGAAGTCTGCTGCCAGAAAAACAAAAACAAATGCATTGAAAGCTTTACTGCCAATAGTGTTTAAGTCTGTACATAAACTATACTGCACCAGAGGAAAACCATGTGTGTTTCTTGGAAAGGAAGAACTTGCTGTGTGATAGTAATATTAATGAACACTGAATTCTTTCTGTGAGTCAACAGAAGTTTACACCATGAGCAATAGACTGCAGGCCTCTGGTTTGGACCCAGTAGAGTGAAGACAGTGTGTGAGGGACGAAGAGATCTGCACACTGACCCTGAAGGGACTGCCCCTCACAGACAGCTCAGCCAAGACCCGAGAGAGTGGTGTCTACCCACGCCCCCCCCAGACCCAGACCCAGACCAGGACAGAGCACCAGAGAGAACAGAGAGAGAGGGAGCAGACAGAGACACAGACACACACCCACAGAGTTAGACACACACAGACACAGGCAGAGAGACAGGCAGACAGATAGGTTCCCTATGAGAGAAAGACAGACAGATAAACCAGTGCGTGGCCGGTCACTCAGCATTAGAAGGAAAGTCCAGGACTGTGATGAATCTCTAGGAGCCTG